AACCCAAGGAGGGGTCGCTATGAGTCGGGGCCGACTCGACGGCACATAACAACAACAACAACAAGCCAGTGAAGTAGAATTGGGCATGAAAATAGGATTGGTAGGCCCTTCCTCCTTTGGAATTATTCATATAGGATAAATTCCCAGTGGTGGAATTTATTAATGGCATGAAATCTATGAACACTTTAAGACAAACCAGCTCCTCTGTAAAGATCACACTTGACGTAAAGGGCACATCTTCAGGACGGACCGATTACTGGAGAATGACATCATTCTTGGTAAAGCAGGGGATAAGTGAAAAAATGTCTCCAACTAGACGGCATCTAACATCAATATGGGCAAATCTGGTAAACTCCTACAATGGCCAGGAGACATCTATATGAAAGTGAAACTTAACTAAGAGCAAAATTATTCCCTCTTTCCCAAAACCATACCAGGAAGAGGCTATAAATCCACTTAGAGAACCTCAAGCAGAGAGCATAGTTAGGCAATTATGTAAGAAGCTCGTATGAGCAAACTCTTGGCAGTTTTGAAGTGCAGACCTTGATCCTTCCCCCATATCATTTTGGGCAAAATATGGACTGAAAAAATCATGGTCTGTAAAAATCCCAGTCAAAACGAGATTAAAGTAATAGATTTGAACAGTTACTTTGTGGAATTATTAGGGAATAAAATGCTCCCAGGGAAAAATAGTGCAGCCAGTGTTCAGTCCATTTAGCACTCAAAAGTCTCTCTGGTGTGCAAGTAATAGACGTGAAATTGCTTATGAAAACTCTCCAAGACTTTCCCTTGCACTTAGACATGTCACCAGCTAGTGAGTTCGATTGTGAAAAATCCCAGTATTCCTTAAGTGTAGCTATTTAAAGCTAAAATGCTAGGTACTTTCCATGATCACACCTCACCTACAGTATATAAATGACATGTATTCCTGATGCAATCTACATAATAGAACCACAACTTTATGGGGGAAATACCCACTTCGGAAGCTTAAATAGGAAACATGTAACAGTTAAGATAATTACTGTATTAGGGAGACAAAGCAACCTAGGGACAAAAGTTAAACTTTACAACAAAAAAATTCTTGGGTATCTGAGATGGTATCATTACAGAAGTAGACTGCCCAATCTTCCTTCCGAGGAGTGGCTGGTGGGTTTGAACTGCCAGCCTTCTGGTTAGCAGCCAAATGCCTTAGGCACTATGCCACCAGAGTCAGAAGACTATTCCCCAACTTAAATTTATCTTCACATTTGCCTCAGATAATCTCTATATGGGCGGCAAAGTACAAAAGCTAAAATATCATGTACATAATTCAAGACAAACAAATATTTTTATTTGAACGTTTCAGATAATTAAACAGGGCATCTCCAATGCAAAATGAATAAAGTTTCCAGTCACCCCTTACTTGTCTACTCCCACCTCAATGATATCATTGCACATATTAAACTCAACCTCCTGCCAAATGGACCCACTCTTTACAGAGTAGGATGATGATGGAAAATAGCATTTGGTGTAGAAATAAATAGCAGATAATAATGCATAATTGTTTTTAATCTGGAGGATGAGTCACCCCCAATTTATTTCCAAATTTCTTCTGTCATCAGATGTTCATTTCTTTACTTTGAAAATCACCAGATTAACACTGCCAATGGCAGGTAGGAAATGATGCAAGAGGGCAGGTCAGAGGTGTCATATGGTGCGTAGCTGTGAAACTGGGAAGATAACCTCAGGAAAGGCTCTCTTTAATTGCAACAAAGGCACCAAAGTGTGAAGCTAATTCACACTTTCATTATTCCAATCAGGTTATTTTTATATCAGTATAATTTTAGAACAAGACTTGGTGGGGGACTATTTATTTTCCGGGAAATTTTGTCCATCACTTTGTACACAAGATATCCAAGTAGGTCCAGAATTCACCAAGAAATTATATTCCTTTTATCTCGTCCTTTTCTTTTACACACATTCTTTGTTCCCTAAATCTTGCTTTTGTACTAGAAATTTCAAAATAGAATGGCTAAAGACATTCTAACATCATGATCATAAAGAACGTGATCTATTTTTTTGGATGGGAATTGTCTAAACCTAGATGAATCTAATTTTCCTATTAATCTATCAGGGTCTTTAGAGTCTTTAAAAGTGTAAGCTTGCTATTTTATCTATATCTGAATTGTATTTCTTAAGTTTGGGTTTTTGAACTCATTTAGTCTCTAGCTCCTACTCAGGGTTGCAAATAGGAGACTGGAGTCCAGTCCAAATCACAGTCCCATTCTTGTAGACAGGCTAAAGATGGAGGTTTCAGACTAACCCTAACTTCTCTTAAAAACACAAAGCTTCCAACTTGGATTAAACTCAAAACACTCACCACCGTCGAGCCAGATCTGACTCACAGCAACCCCTTCTTGGGTATCTGAGGTGGTATCATTACAGAAGTAGACTGCCCAATCTTCCTTCTGAGGAGTGGCTGGTGGGTTTGAACTGCCAGCCTTCTGGTTAGCAGTCAAATGCCTTAGGCACTACACCACCAGAGTCAGAAGACTATTCCCCAACTTAAATTTATCTTCACATTTGCCTCAGATAATGTCTATATGGGCAGCAAAGTACAAAAGCTAAAATATCATGTACATAATTCAAGACAAACAAATATTGTTTTCATTTGAACGTTTCAGATAATTAAACAGTAACAAAAAAAATATGTTTTAGCTATATGCTGTTTTCCTTTTTACTTGATTTCATAGGCACAATCATAAATGTTAGCAACCAGTGAGCTTTCAAATGAGTGGTGCTCAATCTGGAGTTTACTGGACTGTAGAGAACTGTAGTCTTAGTTTTGGTTTAGTTAATAAATTTGCAAATGAATCAAGTCATTCTGGCATAGCACAACCCTCCTAAAACACAGATTAAATGTCAGTTTATGACAAGTGTCCCCACACTCAGTCATGCTAGATGATGGAATTGTGTAGGTGGTGGTGAGGGGGAAAATTTGTCACAACTTCTGGAAAGTCTCCCTCCTCCCCATCTTCCGTATTAGCTAAAATGAGTGAGCGTCAGCTCCTGGCGGATCCGGTCAGCCTCTAAGTCCAGGGACTCCATGTGCTCATACTCTTCCTCAGGGGGCTGTTCGATGGGTCCTGTCATTGGGGAAGACCAAATATCCATCCCATGCTCCAGGGAGATGTTGTGGAGTACACAACAAGCCAAGATGATGTGGCTGGACTTCTCAGGTGAGTACTGCAATGCTCCCTTGGACCCATCCAGGCAGCGGAAGCGGGAGCAGAGGGTCCGGAAAGTCTTCTCGATCACGCTGTGAGTGGCAGAATGGGCCATATTATAGCCATACTCAGCTGGAGTTTCAGGAATGTGAAGTGGAGTCATGAGCCAAGTGCGGAGAAAAAAGGAACTGTCACCTGTGGGGAAGGAACAAAGAAATCATAAATGATTAGAAATGGGACACAAACAAGGAGAAGTCCAGGAATGTATACTGGAAGTGGATAAAAAAAAAACCATAATGATCAAAATCAACGTCATCTATTCAATTCAGTTCAGTTCCAATTCAACTACACATGCAGTAATTCTTTCTCTGACCCTAACCACCTGGAGCTAGATCAGACCTCACAAGTTAAAGGGCATAGTCCTCCAGACCACCAATCTGCCCAGGACATCAAAGACTAGTCATAAGCTTGCGGGTTGCCTTATCTCTTAGGAACCAAGAACAAAGATCAAATTCTTTAGGAAAAATTCTAACTTTACCACTAAAATTTCAGGTCTCAAATTTTAATGGTAAATTACTACCAAAATGGAACTTTAGAGTACTTCATCAACAATCATCATTTATTGTCCCAGTGCTAAGAAGAATGAGACAAAAGTCCTAGCATTTATGGCAGACATCAGAACTCAGGTGTTCTGCTTTTCTAGATATGTACTCACTAGCTGTATGTAACAGAGGAACTGAGAGAATTCCCAAATTAACAAGGAGAGCATAAATCCAATGACACAAATAATGGTAGTAAATAATAAGAAAATTAAATCAGAAGTCAATTAAATAATACATACAAGGCATTTCCCTTAAGTGACTTCCTTATCAATTTATCCTGGGAAGTGCTAAAAAACACATAGCACCAAAGATACTGGGGTGCAATGTCCTAATGCAGTAGTACAATGTCTCTATAATGTTTCATTGTCATGACTCACTAGGTCTGGCAGATGAAACATCTCCCACAGAAGCATAACCTTTCAGCAATCTGGTAAGTGGGAGCACCAACTTAACATAATTGCTGTGCTTCTGACCCACCTCCTATTTAGGTGCATAGATACAGAACGTGCTAGGCACTGTTCTAAATACAGAGGACTCTTTAGAAGCTTATATTTCTAAGATGTGGATTAACTTTAAATATCTAAGAAATCACTGTCCACAAAAGTTTCAAATTTTATATTTAACTCATCTATTTTTCCCTAAGGACAACCTATTCTAATGATACCCTCTTCTTCTAATTACTAACTTCAAGATACTGATGTTATATTTAACAAACCAAATAGTCCCATGGTGCCTCCACTTTTCCATACTTCCCCCATGTTTCATCAGTCCAAGTCCTGCCTGAGCACCAAAACTGGTGTAGTGAGTTGGCGCAGATTTCCTTCTGCCCCTAGAAACCAGTGTTGAGACCGACTCTCCACTGGCTCACTGGGTGACCTTGAGTGTTTCAACCTAAGGGTAGCTCAGACCTTCGAATGAAAAATAGTGGTAATAATATCTCTCCCTGATTTCAGTTCTCAGGTTGTAAATACTTTTCAGACATATAAAGCACGTCTCAGAATAAGTTCTGATCTACTATGATCTCATATGATCTACTATGCTGGGAATGACAGTTTGAAAAGGAATGGT